AAGTTTAAGATTTTTATAAAAAGCTTTTTAAAAATTATAAATATAATTAAAACATATTCTTAATTCGATCTGATATTTTATAAATCGATATACCTAAAACTTTCCAGTATTCTTTATATTCTTCAATTCGAGAATATAATTTATTATATTTTTTATATTCTTAAATTTAAATAAAAAATCTTTTAAATCTATATTAAATATATATTGAATAATTACTTTTTCTTTCAATTCTATAATATTATAATAATTCATTCAAATTTCTATACAAATAGATAAACCTGTTATTTTATATCAAAAAGTTATATAAAGAATATTATAAAGTATAACAGCTTTCAAATTTTTTATTTTTTATTTTTATAAATAGTTTCAATAATAAGGAGTATATAAGCTTCTTAATCATTTGAATTCATTATAGATTATTAATAAAACATATATTAAAGAAGAAAGATATAAATTGAGGTGAAAATAGACTACTTAATGATATGAGCTATTTAATAATAAATCACATTATATTTATTATATAATCAAAGTAATCAATCGATATAGCTACTCCTCTGTGATATATAGTTATAAGAATTACAACTAGTTATATTGAATTGATCCAGTGAGGGGGTGTATTAGATTCAATAATATTATAATTTATATCTCCCTCTTTATACAAAAGGGTATTGCTAAGCTATATACACATTCTACCTCATATACGCACTTTGTATATAAATGGGAGAGAATGTGACACGTTCTTAGTCACGTATTCCAACAAGTTATAATCTTATTGAATCTAATATACCCCCTTACTAAGTCAACCCAGTACTAAACACTTCCACGTGATCCTAAAGACAGCTCTCGTAATAAAAGGATATACTTTAAAATTGATAGTTCTCTATTGATACGAATAAATTCACCTTAAATAATTATAAATTAGAATGACTAAGAAGAATTTTCAAATTAGAATCTAAGAAAATATTAAATAATCAACCTCGATTTTTAATTATAAATAATTATTCAAATTATATTACAAATAGTTTCATTATTTTCTATATAGAGAATAATATCGATTTACTTATATTATCTTCTTATTACTCTTATTTACTTTGATTACTTAATATTATAGTATATAAACTAATAAAGTAATAATGTGATTTAACACCGAATACACCATATCACCAAATGCACCATTTCAAAATACACCAAAATTAGCCTTTTCCTAATTTTTATATTTTAATAATTAATCAATATTTTTTAAAAAACAAAAAAGATTTATTAATAAGAAAATAATTTTTATAAAAATATTAAGTTTTTATATAACGTAGTTTAACACCGAATGGCCCATATCACTGAGTGGCCCACTTTCATCTCAATTTATATTTTCAAATTCATATTATTCAATAATAATTGAATTAATTGATTAAAACTATTAAGAATCTAATAATCTAGGATTTATTATATTATTTTGATAGATTCTTATATTATATTCTATTTTTCCATATTTATTACAATATCAATTAAAAAATACTTCTCTATTAAAATTCCCTTCTTTTTAATACTTATTATATTAAATCTAAATATCAATCTTTTATTGAAATAATATATTAAAAATCTTTTATTTAATAAATATTCCTTCTTAATATAATTAAGTTTTTTTTATATATCAATATTTATTTAATATTTTATTTGTTATTTAAAGTATATAAATCTTTATATTTAAAAATATATTCTTATAAGCTAATCTTTCTATATCTTTAGCTAGAATTAATACAATCTCAAATATAAATATAAAAGAGCTTAATTAATAACAAGTTATTCAAAATTTAATTAATATTAATTAAAAAAAAGCTTTAATTAGATTATGAGAGATTTGAAAAATCTATTAATCTAAATTGAAAAAAAAGAGAATAAATATATGAATTTGAATATCTAATTTTGAAAATATAGTTTTAGAATTAAATAGAATTAAACCTATTTTTTAGAATCCTGATTTTATATTTTGAGAAATAATTAATTCTTTATATATAGTTTTGAAAACTATAAAGAATTTAATTTTCGAAATATAATTGATATATATTTTAATGAATTTATTAATTTGAATATTATATAAATATTTCAGATTGCTAAAATAGTTTATATTAAATAATTAAATTAAATGATTTGAATGTAATAGTAAATATATATATTTAATATTATTCTCTTTATAATATACTTAAAAAGCTTTTGATTTATAATTTTTATATTTATTTAGTATTAATATTCGATATTTGCTTTTTCTTTGATTCTTAATATATTTATTAAAATGTTTTAATTATTCTAAATCTGTTTTATTATTTATTTATTCATTAGATATAAATTTAATAATTCAATCTATAGGAAAATTGGTTTTGGTATATTAATTGAAAAAATGAATTTGTTCTTGAATTATTAGAAATAGGAGTATAATTTTATTTTCCTTATTATCATATATAATTGCCATAGTTTATTTTTTATTATTTAATTATATTGTTTTGTTTTTACTATTTTGCTTAATACTAATTATTATTATTTTAGGATGTATTATATTTCGTTTATATATTCGAAATTAATCGAAACCATTTTTCAATAAACTTAGGATTTTTGTAAAAAATCCTTTAAAAATTATAAATATAATTAAAATACGTTTTTAATTCGATTCAATATTTTATAAATCGATATATCTAAAGCTTTTCAATATATTTTGTATCCTTCGATTCAAAAATATAATTTGTTATATTTTTTATATTCTTTAATTATAATAGAAATCCTTTTGAATTTATATTGAGTATATATTAAACAATTACTTTTTTTTCTGATTTTATGATATTATAATTATTAATTCGAATTTCTATATAAAGAAATAAATCTTTTATTTTATATCAAAAAGTTATATAAGGGATATTATAGAATATAGTAGTTTTTCGAATATTTAATTTTTTATTTTTATAAATAGATTCGATAGTAAAGAGTATATAAGCTTTTTAATTATTCAAATTTATTATAGATTGTTGATAAAATATGTGTTGAAAGAGAAAGATATAAATTGAGATAAAAGTAGGCTATTCGATAATATAGGTTACTCAGTGTTAAACTACGTTGAAAATTTCTATTATATTTTATAAAAAGTAGAAATTGTCACGATTTTCGTTATAAAAAAACTATTCCTATAATAACTACTATATTAATTCAAATTTTTAATAGATAATTAAATTTTTATAATATTTATATAATTAAATATTACAATTTCAAATTTTGAAAAATTATATTATTAAATAAAGAAAGTGCATAGTTATACATGGATGTATTTTATATGTAAAATTTGTAATGCACTCGGTGATATAATGCACTCAGTGTTAAACCATGTTATTATATTTTAAAAAAAGATTAATATTTTTGAATTAATATAAAACAAATCTAAAAAACTAAATAGATAGAATTCTTTTAAGATATTAAGAAAAACATATTGAATTCTTTTAATATTAAAATTTTACGAAATTCACTATCTTAAATAACAATACATAACTAAATATAGTATTTCTCTAAAGTGCCTATTTCCATAATATTACAGGAGCTGCCTCTAGGGTTATATAGAAATATTTAGAGATCTTTTAAAATGATTTAGACTAAATTTCAAATAAAAATTCAATAATGTTATAACTAATTATAATAGTATAAAACTTTACATTATAATAAAATCTATTTCCTTATAAGAGTTTCTTATTTTGTTTAAATTGGATTGGCTGTATATTTGTTAGAAAAAAATAAAAAAAATAGATATATAAATTCTAAAATAAAACAAAAATGATATTAATTATAAAATAAGGTTTATGACTTATTAGAAATAGTTAGTAAGTTATATATATATATATATATATAATATAAAATTATAATATATATTATATATATATTAAATTAAATTATAATATATATTATATATATATATTAAATTAAATTATAATATATATTATGTATATATTATAGAAGTGGAATCTATATATAAAACCTTTTATATGTGTAGTGCACGTGTCATATCACGTGTTGTATCATACGTTTTCCAATAATATTGATATAATACATATAACGTGGTTTATTAGTAAGTAGATTATATTAATAAATAGATCACTTATTTTATATGCAAAATTTGTTTATATATAATTATGCACTTTCTTTATTTATAAATTTAATTTTCTGAAAATTTAATATTAAACATTTGAATATATAAAAAATTTAAAAATCTAACTAATTTTAAGAAATTCGAATTTATAAAATTGTTATTATAAAAATATTTTTTTTATAACAAAAATTGTAACAATTTGCTTTTTTTTTGAAAAGAATAGTGAAATTATTTTATAAAAATTAGATCATAAAAAACCTAGATTTAAATTATTTTTTAATATTTTTTATTTAAACAAATAGTAATTAATTATTAAAATATTAATATTTTAAAAAGCTTGATTTAAATGATTTTCGAAATGACTCATTCACTAATATAATCTATTCACTAATAAACCATGTTATAATTATTAATGTTTATATAATAATACTTTTTCTATATGATTAGCTTTATTGAAATGATAGTTCTTAAGCTATATAATATTTAACAATATTAATTAGGTTTATAATACAATTAGTATTAGAATTTCGCGAGGATAATTTACTTTCTCCTGTTAGGAATTAGACGATTATTTACAGAGTCGAATGTTAGACTCAATATTACTCTATAATAATTTAAGAACCTCAAGATCGATTTTTAATAATACTCAGACATCGAATATTCTATAAAAAACATACATTTTCCAATAGCGTTGAAATAGTCAATAAATTAGACTAGAATAAAATTAATTTTTCCATCTGCTTAAAATGTGGGGATATCCGAGATGCCGGGGTAAAGACTTGCTCTTTTAAATTGAGCAGCTACCGCCTGTTTTTGTCAAGATCTCGACTCAGCTTTACTTAGACTTCTCATTACGAACCCTTCAGATAATATCGATCAAATCATGTCTATCAATTCAGATATTTTCACCAAGGCTTTTGTCGGACCAGACGATCAATTAGTTTTGAAGGATGACGATAGCATTGGTGAGATTATCAATGGACATAATCTCAACGATCTAGGCAAACTTGTCCTGAAGCTCCTTACTTCTCCAAAGTTTAACCAGACTACGGATACAGAGTCCAGCCAGATCGTGGATGATCCAAACCCTCGAGCTTTGCCAAATGAGATTGCAGCTACAATCCGCACACTTCTGTGCCAGATCGGGGAAGATACAGATCGTGAAGGTCTTAAACAAACACCCGAAAGATACGCGGAAGCACTTCGGTTTTTCACAAAAGGATACAGGGAGGAAGTGAAAGAAGTGGTTGATGGCGCTATTTTCAATGAAGAAATGGAGGGCATGGTGATTGTGAGCGATATTGATGTTTTCAGTCTGTGCGAACATCACATGTTGCCATTCTTTGGAAAGGTATGTGTTGCCGCCGCTTTCTGCTCCCTTATGATCGAGTGTGTGTACATGTGAGAGCTGGTACACGAATCAATGACCTTTTTTCGAGTTTGAAGTATATAGCTCTACTTTCGAAACTGCGTTGGATGGTTCTATAACATGCACGCGTCTATTGCGAATATAATCATGCTCAACTCGAAAGCCGTTTTTTAAAATCGAGTACTTACTAATCAAATCTAGAGACTCGCTACTCGTACATAGACTAATTATTTATTAAACTAGGTACATATTGGGTATATTGCGAACGGACGAGTGCTTGGATTATCCAAATTTGCGCGAATAGTCGAGATTTTCGCACGAAGACTACAAGTGCAAGAGCGTTTGACGATGCAAATAGCAGATGCAATAGAAAAGTTGTTAGAGCCGCTAGGAGTCGCAGTCATTATAGAATGTAAACATATGTGTATGGTGATGAGAGGGGTGGAAAAGACGGAATCTATGACATCAACTCAATGTATGAGAGGTGTGTTGAGAAATGGCGTGGAGGAACGAAAGAACTTTCATGCCCTACTGAAACAAACGAAGCGAAGCTAGTTTTTTGGTAGAGATAGGACGGAGAGTAACTCGATGAACTTTTAGTATCTACTGTACCTTGATATGCTCACATGATAATAAACGGCGAGAACGAAATCCATGCCACAGTGACTGAAGATTTGTTTGAGAGTGAAAACATCTAAAAACTCTCCGCTTGGGGAGATGTCGCCTTCATGACTTCTTATTGAGTCTTGCAGCTTGTGATAGGCGCCAAAATAAAGAGCCTATTTAAAGTGAATAAAGATTTGGCAGCGCATCGAGCCTTCATGTAAATCTTTACCATTTTTGTTTGTGTGACTTTCTTGTTTAGCTACCATCCCACCACTCAGCCATGGTTACACAAGTAATATAATATGCAAGAACAGCACACAATGTTACCCGCCACATTAGCCATTAAGATACGGACTCAAAAAAGCATCCAAGCCTGCAGTTAATCAAAGACATATGGGTCAAACATCTTCATTCTTTTAACCCATCCATTCAAAAACATTTCCCCCCGCTGCTCCGAACATCAAACCATTACATTGACAGGCCATTTAAGAGTCAAATATTGTTGGTGCCCTCGTGATGATATAAATCGTTATTTTGAATGATTGCATGTGCAAGGAATGAATATTTTCATAAACAGGCTGTTCATTTCCATAACCGGGTCTCGTTTCCTTGGCACGTTGCAGGCGCGTGACTGCATAAACTCGGTTTTGGGCTTTTTTTGCTTTTTGAATCGATTATAACCATATCAATCTTCATCAGCTCCATTTAAGCATTCATCAATTGATCAAAGCAATATGGCTAGCTTCAATGAATTGAAAAAGGCTCTGGTGAGGGATGTCACGACGGAGATGTCGTCTCCGAATCAACCATTATCTGACTCTCAGTATAACAAAGGTTTCGACGTATTGATGAATGGAACAGAACGGACCTCATACGAGGAATTCATCATCCCCGAATTATCTCAACAGCTAACCTCACTTCTCGCTTCACGTCCCACTTTTTCCGTGATTGAGATTGGGCCCGGTTCAAAGAGCGTACTTGGTTATGTGCCCCTCCATCTTAGACGAAAGATTAGAAGATACGCTGCATTTGAGCCCAACAAAATATCAGCTACAAGCTTGGAGGACTGGATTTCTTCTTGCTCGCCATTTCCTTGCTTGGAAACTGCACCCAATATCCGTAGAGCACCCTTTATTTTCGACGATGAGGAGAAGAACAATATCATCGAAACAGATCCGAATAATGACGGGCAAACTTTCGATCTCATTCTTTTTTGCCACAGCATGTATGGCATGAAGCCAAAAGAGAAATTTGTCAAGAAAGCGCTAAACATGCTTGTTTCAAGCCCAGAAAGTGGAAAATTAGTGATATTTCATCGCGACCAGTGCTTTGAGCTTGCCGGATTGATTTCTGATCATACGGCTATTTTTCCAACGGGAACCGTCTCTATAGCAGACATAAATGACGTGTTAGATGCATTTTCTCCCTTCGTCGCGGGTTTCATCAAGCAGGATGTGGAAGTCGACATGGCTTTACGAATAAAGTGGAGAGAAACATGTCGTGCTTTGGCTTACCATGATAAGAAGCTGCCAGGATATTTGTTGTTCAGCTCACCTCAGCGTATGTTATCTCTTACAAGACATGCGAACGCTTTAGTCGATCTCGTATTACAGGTGCCATTAGCGAAAGAAGACCGGGTTGTCAAAAGCTGGGAGGCTCGCTTGCATCGACCTACTTCGATCTTCAGGCCGACGACAGTGAAGCATGTCCAACAATGCATTCAATGGGCTGTGAAGCACAAATTGAAACTTACCGTAATTGGTGGTGGCCACAGCGCACACTGTCTATGGACCGACACTGTCTCACTCGATATGGAATCTTTCGATCGAGTACATGTTATCACCTCAAATAATAATGTAGATGATGCCAATACACGGCTTGGTTCCAACTCTTTAATTTTAGCTGAGGCCGGATGCAAGACAGGAGATATTATTCGAGAAGCAATGAAGTTGGGGTTAACAGTACCTTTGGGCTCCCGACCTAGTGTGGGAGCTGGCTTATGGTTACAAGGCGGCATCGGGCATCTGTCTAGGCTTCATGGGCTGGCATGCGACAACATTGTAGGTGCTGTCATAGTCAGTGTCATTTCTGGTCAGATCTTTCATATCGGGGAAGTACCAACCCAAAATTTGCCAGCCGGTGCAACAAGACCCAAGAATGAGAAAGATTTATTATGGGCAATTAAAGGTGCTGGCACAAACTTTGGAGTAGTTATCAGCGTCACTTTCAAAGCTTATGGGGCTCCAAATTATTCCGTTTGGAACTGGATCTTCCCTGTTAGGGAAGAGACTGAAGCGGGGCTCAAGCTTGGTGATGTCAACTCCATCGCCAGAAACCTTACTCGGAGTTTTTCCATAGATGCATATATCTACTCAGATGAAAATCAGCTGCATCTTGGGGTGACCATGTTCCAGGCTTCGGCAGACAAGAGTTTTGAAATGCCTCCGCTGGTAAGTAGCATTTTGGGACCAGCAAAACAATGTAAGGAAGTGGATGGTTTCGGCTTATTTGAGACTGAAATGTACATGTCGACGATGCACGGCGGACACAGTGGGAAATCTTCTTCATTTAAGCGATGCTTGTTCTTCAATAGTATTGAAGATGTGCAAATCGTCGATATCTTAAGAGCAGCTATTCAAAATCGCACCACACCATTCTGCTATCTTCATCTGCTGCAATGTGGTGGGGCAGCTCGTGATAACACAACAAAAGACTCTGCTTTTGGATGCCGGGATTTTGAATTTGCTTGTGTCATTACTGGCGTCTGGCCTCGCATCCAGACTGAACCTGAAGTGGTTCGAAACACTATTCAGTGGGTCTATGATGTCGTCAGAAACTTGTTGCCATTTTGTAGTGGAATTTACAGTGCCGACCTTGGACCAGATCCTAGGGACAACACACTGGCAGCTAAGGCATTCGGAGTAAACCTACCACGTCTGGCCCAATTGAAACGCACTATGGACCCATTCAATACTATAGCTTACGCCTGCCCTTTGTTTGAGCCTCCAGTAGAACAGAAACTGATCATACTTGTCACAGGTGACAGTGCAGCTGGTAAAGACTTTTGCGCCGAGATCTGGGCCTCTGTGATCACAACATGTACTAGTCAAATGCGCACAGCACGTTCAGTCAGTATCAGCGATTCTACTAAGCGAGAATATGCGACGGAGACTGGTGCAGATATAAATCGGCTTCTTTCGGATCGTTCTTATAAAGAGGAACACCGACCAGCTTTAACGAAATTTTACAAGGAACAGGTGATCAACCGTCCTCAATTACCAATGGAGCACTTTCAGAGTGTTGTACATGATTCTGGCAGTTGTGACGTGCTTTTCATTACTGGCATGAGAGACGAGGCACCGCTTACAGCTTTCTCGCACCTGGTACCAGACAGCAGAGTTCTTGATGTTCGGGTCAACGCTAGTCAAACGGTTCTTCGAGATCGCAGATGGAAACGTCGTGACGAAATCAAAGCTAAAAATGATCTTGATGGTACGAATTTGTCGAATTTACATTACCTGCCTAGTCTTGTCTTCAACAATGACACATTAGGCAGTGGGGCTGCAGAAAATTTTGCCAAAAAGCATCTCCTGCCATTACTGCATGAGGACTTCGCACGACTTGGAAAAATGGTAAGAGCGGTACCCAATCATCCACGCCAAGGTGTAAATTTCCGTCACGTACTTGACATTTGTCAACAACCAGGTGGACTGACCTTATGCACTGATCTGCTGCAAAGGCACTTCATTGGGGAATGGGCTAAAGTCGATACTTTAGTTTGTTGCGAATGTGGTGGATTTGTTTTTGCATCGGCATTAGGAGCGCGGACTGGTATAACATTGGCATTGGTTCGAAAATCTGGCAAACTTCCACCACCCACTATCTCAGTCGAAAAGTCGCAATCACATATTTCATCTACGGAATCTGGAGAGTTGCAACAAAACATGATTGAGATGGATCCAAGTCTGGTTAGCAAAAGTAAATCTGTGTTGGTTGTAGACGATGTACTTGCAACTGGAAGGACACTTGGTGCAGTATTGAAGCTATTGATGAAAGCTGGCGTTCGGCGCAGGGATATCAGAGTTATGGTCGTTGCCGAATTCCCTATTCATAATGGCAGAGAATCATTACGCCAGGAAGGATTTGGAGATGTCAGAATTCAAAGTCTTCTGACTTTTGGTGGTGTTTGAAATACAAGGTTCCTGACATCATGCGTTTCAATTCTATGGATGAGGAAGTGATTGTATTGAGAAGTTGCGAAATGGAAGTAATCTTGAAATGCGGGGTATTTTTGATCACGTGTTTATACTGTGACGATCCTGAGATCGTCAACCGTCATGACTCTAGCTTATCTCAATATTCAGAATCTCTTTGTCGATAAAACGTTTTTAATTAGAATTCTAAATAATATCTTGATCCTTTTCATAATGATATTATAGCTTATTAATAATCGAATTTTTTTAATTAATTAGAGATTAAGGGGAATATTTATTTCCTTAAAAGTTTAAGAGTTTTTGATTGTGTTTTTGATAAGGATTTAGAAATCTTTAATAAAAGAATTTCAAAGATATATTTATATTCTTTAAATTTAATTTATTTAAAAAGTAAATATATAATTCAAAGACCCTGATTTTCTAATATTTTATGAAATTGTATAATAATAATATATTGATTAATTAAATTTAAATATTATTAATAATATTTGAATTATTATTATTAAAATATAATAGAAAAAATTATAATAAATTTCAAAATAAATATCTTTTATTAATTCCTATCAACTTCTATCTCCTTCTATTTCCTCCTAACAATTTCTATTAACTTCTTTTAATTCTTTTCAATTTCTATTAACTTCTATTATTTTCTATTAATTTATAAGTATTTATATTTCTTTTTATAATAATCAAAATAGTTAATATTTTAATAATTAATACTTCAATAAGCTTATTTAGTATATCATTATTATTCAATCTATTATTATTATAATTATTTAATTTATTATCTAAATCTTCAATTATTATTTCTAAATCTAAAACTTCTAATACTTCTATTAATAGAATATCTCAATTCAAATTTCAATATATTTTAAATATAATAAATTAGAAGGGAATATTATTTAATAAGTTTATAATAAATTAGGCTTTTAATAATATATATAATAAAATTAATGGTATTTCTGAAATATAATAATTAAAGCTCAAAAAGACTTTAAATTATATATTTATTAAAAGTATAATATATAAGAATATCTTTATACAATATTTTAAAAATATATTAAAATAAGAATTTGCCATTCTTCTTATTAAATCAAAATTTCAAACTTTTAATATAAATGTTTTTTTAAATAAATTTTGTAATATTAATTTTTTTAATATTAGTTAATTAATAAAGAAAAAAGCTTTAATTTAATCTTTTATTCTTATAACTCTTATTATTAATAAATACTCTTATTATTTTAATTATCTAAGTAAATCAAATATGGAAAATTAAGGTTAATAAATCTATATAATTATTAATATAATAGTATATGCTCAATTCAAATATTTATCAAATTATTTATATAATATATTTAATTTCTATTTAATGGATTATAAAGTTAAATGTTGCTAGATTCAAATACTTTTTGGTTTTAGAATTTGTAATAATTATAATTATTATAATAATCAAATGAAATATATAGTTTTTATAGCTAAAAAGGAAATCAAAGTATAAGGAAATTATCTATAAACAATCATTATTTATAATAATTTTAATTTTAAGGAAATTAAAAGAAATAAAAGTCTTAATTATATTAAAGGTATAAAGAATTTGACTATAACTATATTTATTCTCTATTTAAAGCTTCCATCTTTAGAATTAAACAAATTATATATAATCCCACAATTCTTATAAACTTTTGAGATATTCTTGATTCTATTAATTTTATAATAAATCTATTTTCTTATTAAATAAATACTTATTTTATATATAATATATTTAAATATATATTAGAAAATATTATTTAATTAATATTTCGGAAAATTAATTTATATCCTAAAATACTTTATATAGAATGTATTCCTATTAATAAAATAAAGCATTAATAATTTAATAATATTTATATAAATAAGGGAATTATAAATAAAACTTATAAGATTTATAATAATATCTTCAAGATGTAATTAGTCTTTTTAGAATTTAGTGAATCTATATTATTTGATTATACTATTAATCTCAAGTTAATATATAATAATCAATTTATAATAATTTATATATAAATTATTAAAGTCTAATAATTTAAATCTATTAATTCTTATAAATATAGAGAATAAATATTTGAATTAACTTTATGGTTTTATATATTTATGGTAGTTCAGAATACTATAATTTATACTCATTTCAAGTTTTTCCTTAGTAAAACTAGCTCTTATTATATACAAATCGACCTTCTAGATTTAAGATAAAAAAAACAGAAAAGAGATTTATTCAAATATTATTAAATATATTCTTTATTATCTCAAATATTCAGTACAAGAATTGTATTATTATTTGTCACGGAATTCACCGTCTTGTGCAACAACACGTGATTGAGCATGGCACTCCTACGAAGTGCTTATTCCTATGATCATCACATAGTCTTCTATTCATTTCATATGTGAACCCTAATACCTAATTAGACGACTTCGTCGCTCGATCAGAGTATATAAGGTAGGCATAATCCTTATGATCATATCACAAGTCAATCTAGTTTATTATCACTATACATACCTATTATATGATCAGAGTGACCAATCGACATAGCTATCCCTCCGTGATATTATTCTATTATATATTATAGAAATACCTTAAAATAATTAATAATATATATCAAATAGAAAAAATAATTGAATTTATTAAAGAAATTATTTAATATATAATACTAATTGAGTTTCTCAAAATAATAAAGATAATTCAATAAAAAGCTTTTATTTGAAAAATTAGAATAAAGATAAAGAAATTAATTCAAATTTTATTATTATATATCATTTATTTTTAGAAAATAGAGATATATATAATAATTAATAAAACTATTTGTCGGGACAGGGATCATGTGACCGCACTAGCGCTTGCGCTAGTGCCTCGGCACTATAGTATGAACGTATCGTAGCCCTAGCTTTTAGAACCTTAAGTAATATTACAATAATGTAAACCATAATACTATATTGTCTTTATTATCCCTATGGTGATATCAATATTAATCAATGATATTATAGATTAGGAGTCTGATATCTTAATTTCAAATATAACATAGATTTATAACTAAGATTAATATTTTTCTAAAAAGGCATAAGCTCTTATATTAATTCAATATAGCTTGATATCTATTCTTATATAAATAAAAACTGTTAGTAATATAATAATAGTTTTTATATTAAATATTAATCCAATATAATTTAATACTAACAAAACCTGAAATTAGTTGGTAATGTAGCAACAATTCTTATATTCAATCTTAGTTTATATTTTATTTTTCAAAATAATATACATTAAAAAGTACAAATCAATAATGACTAGCTCAAATTAAGCACTATTTTCTTCAAATAAATACAATTTTATTAGATTTTGATAAAGTTATATTTAATTATTTTACCTTATTACTTATTTGTTATTTGTTAATATAATAGAATTATATAAAAATGATTTTATGGAATATAAGTTTAAATATAGCAATATTGCTGGAAGCATAATTAAATTAGTTATGTTATTAATTATTCTGTTTAATGATTTTAATATATTGGCTACAAGATGACAGGAATATTCTATTGATTTTATAAAAGAAATAAATATAAGAGAGATTAGGAATTTTTGTAAATATAAACTATACGAATATCAAAAATCAATCTATTATAATAATAAGCTATAATTGAATTATTTTAATATATTTGAATATTTTATTTTAGAATATTTTTAAATAATTGATATATATTTTTTATATAAGCTTAAATATAAATTATACTTATATAACTTGTTTATTACAAAATATAAGATCTATATAATATAAGCTATTTATAATACTTTAATTAAAATAAATCGATTATTATATAAAAAATGATTTAATAAAAAGATTATAAATATACTCACAAACAAGGAATTTATATTTCAATCAAAAAATATACAATATAGAATAACTATAAAAGATATTTAAACATTTATATATATATTAATAAAGAAATCCGAAATATCTCAAATAAATGGTTGATCCAAATTATTAGATTTTAATTAATATAAACTATCACAAATATTAAATATTCTATTAGGAATTATAACTATTTCTAAATTCAAACTTTTAAATAATAAAGGAAAGGGTATTGATATTAAACAAAAAGTATTATTACAAGCACCCTTATACTCTAAATTCATTTATCAAATTAATATTAGTTTTTTATAAGAGAATAATGAATTTAATAAATTAATCATATATTTATTTATCACGGAGGAATAGCTATGTCAATTGATCACTCTAATTATATAATAGGTATATATAGTAATAATAAACTAGATTGATTTGAGGTATGATTATAAGAATTATATCTATCTTATATATTCTGATTAAGCAATGAAATTATTTAATTAGATATTAGGGCTTATATATGAAATAAATAAAAAACTATATAATAATTATAGAAATAAGCACTTTAGAGGAATACCATGCTCAATCACATGTTGTTGCATAAGACAGTGAATTGCGTGACATTATTCTATAATCAAAAAAATCCATTATCTTTGAAAACTATTTAATATTATTTCGGATAATTCTAATCAGAATTATTTTCTTAATAAATCAATCCTTTATTATTATAATTGTTATTATTAAAGAAAAAAGGTAATTAATTATATAATAATCTGTATAAAAGTAATAATAGTTTTAGTAAAAATAAAGAAAATAAAGAAAACAATTTTTTATAAGAAGAATATAATGGGAATAGTAATAATAGAAAAAAAGATAATATAGAAAAAAGTAATAAAGATAATCTAGAATATAATTAAAATATTCCAAAGATTTTTCCAAATCTATTATTAAGAATTATAAATATCGATTAACTTTTCAGAAATCTTATAAAACTTTATAATAAAGATAACAAATATAGTAAACAAAATAATAATTTTATTTATAAATATAATATATTTCTTAATAATTGTTAATATATTAATATATTTAAAACTATATTCT